TTTTTTGTAATATTTTGAATTTATCAGTGGAACATTTTCTGATGAATTACATCTGCAGCTCCTTCCCTTTCAGTCATGTTTATACCATACCATGATGTGAGTCAATTCTGCCTTCATATAAGAATATTTTAATCAGCCCATCTCCAGAATACGAGTCCAATAATTACTTTTTAAAGTTTGTCCATTGCCAGTCTTATGATAGTTCAGGTGGCATTATTATTTGGAATGAAGAGTAATGATGCTTTTCATGGTATGGGTTCCTCAAACGAAGTCTTATCTTTTGTGATGCCAGACCAGGCCGTCAGGAAGTATCTAGCTAGATTTGTTGTTTCCTGCCTGCCTCTTCCCTCATGAGGCAGGAAAGTGTAGAATGCCCGGTGTATATCTCCCAACCCCACCCCAGATATACTGAAAAACAGAGGAAGTGTTAGCCACAACACATTTTGCCGTTTGTAATCCAATAAAAGGGGCCATAGACCAAGGACATGATTCATTCTGGATAATTCTGAAAACAAAAACTCACTTTGTAAATTTGAATGCCACACTCCCAGGATAATTCCCAGGACCCCTGTGGACAGGATAGAAGAGGAGGAAGGCACTTTTCTTTCCAGGAATTCATTTGTCATGCTCCTTTGACATGTTAGAATTCCAGCATATGGCATCAGTTTTTATTTTCCTTTATGCTTCCCAGTTTCTCTTACTCTCAAGAACATCCTCACAGTCAACAGGTGCAGTATTTATAAAATTTATGATTTCTCAAGTTATCTCAGTAGAGGCAGCGTGGCTATTCCCATTCGAAAGGCACTATGAAAGTTTCAAGGACTGAAAACCATAGACTGGGAATATCAGATCTGCACTTGTTTAGGCCTATAAGCTTGTGTCCTTTCTTTATTAGAGTTTTGGTGAATGCTTATATTTTCAGTCAAATTTTTCAAGAAAAGTAAACCTAACAGTGTTACTGATTTTTTAAGAAAAGTATCCCTAAATGTCTAATACTATTCTGACCAAGATAGTTTAAAAAATTATTTTAAAAATAATCCTTTCCCAAGGTGCCTGGGTGGCTCAGTCAGTTTAGTGTCAGACTCTTGACTTCAGCTCAGGTCATGTTCATGAGGTCGAGCCCCATGTCGGGCTCTGCGCTGACAGCGTGGATCCTGCTTGGGATTGATTCTCTCTCTCTCTCTCTCTCTCTCTCTCTCTCTCTCTCTCTGCCCCTCCTTTGCTCATGCTCACTCTCCCTCTCTCTCTCTCAAAAATAAATAAACTTCAAAATTTTTAAATTTAAAAATTTTTAAAAATAAGAATAATCCTTTCCATCTTTGTCTTGCTTTGATTGGGGTAGGAGAACACATAATGAAGAAACCATACATCACTTTGCTTGAATTTTTCCTTTCATTCTATAAGTGTGGGCATTTCTAATGTGCCTGGCCTGGACTTTTCTTTATTGGGGCATTAAAATTGAAGGTAGTGGGGCGCCTGGGTGGTTTAGTTGGTTAAGCATCTGACTCTTGGTTTCAGCTCAGGTCATAATCTCATGGTTTCATGAGTTCGAGCCCTGAGTCAGGCTCCATGCTGACAGTGCAGAGCCTGCTTGAGATTCTCTGTCTCCCTTTCTGCCCCTCCCCCACTCACACTGTCACTGTTTCTCTCAAAATATGTAACTAAACATAAAATAAATAAAATTGAAGGTAGCAAGAAATGAAAAACAGAATTCTGTTTCCAACAAATGGACGGTACCTGTGTATTAAGACCAAGAAGTGTGCACTCTTGCCAATTCTCTTCTCTTGCCAGATGGGTTAAGACTTCGGATGCTGAGGGGCGCCTGGGTGGCGCAGTCGGTTAAGCGTCCGACTTCAGCCAGGTCACGATCTCACGGTCCGTGAGTTCGAGCCCCGCGTCGGGCTCTGGGCTGATGGCTCAGAGCCTGGAGCCTGTTTCTGATTCTGTGTCTCCCTCTCTCTCTGCCCCTCCCCCGTTCATGCTCTGTCTCTCTCTGTCCCAAAAATAAATAAACGTTGAAAAAAAAAAAATTAAAAAAAAAAAAAAAAAGACTTCGGATGCTGAGATATTTCCCAGGAGACAAGGAGAGTTGAGGGAGTGATTTAACAACTTGTGAATAAGGCCTGAGCTCTTTACCTTGTTTTGTTGATTCCTTCAGTAGTGGACTGTGGATCCGTTCAGAATAATTTTTCCCCTAGCAAACCTGATAGAATTGTGGATCTGTTACCTACATTCATTCCAATGTTGACTTCCCCGATGCCACACTTGAGAAGCTTTGAGAGCAAGAATATCGCAAACCTTTCATGCACTTTATATACTCCTTTCATGTACTTTTTTTCAATTGCTCATCGCTTCCTTCCACAGACACTTACTGGAAACATTATGCTGGTGACAGACACATGATAATAACCTATTTCCTATTTGTTTGAAATTATATATTATAATGCCATTAATCTTGATAGGAGAAAATATTACGTAAGTAGTATTTTGCTAAAATGATTAAGGTATTGATGGTGTCCATAGATATTTGAGATTTTTAGTTAAAGTGAGTTAAAATTGCTAAATTCTATTAAAGGATTTCAATGCAACACTTAATAGTATAACAGAATTGGATATTGTAGTTCATATGCAAAAAAAGGAAAAAGTTAGCTCCAATTGTTTTTCCCTTCTTTATTATTGGTATCATCTTCCACTTTTACTGTGCCTCTACTGGGAGCCACATATCTGATCCAATTTACTTTAAGTATCAATTGAATCAATGAAAAGCTAACATCTATCTGAGAAGAAATACTATACTAGGAAGACACTATACTGGAAAGAATTTTCAGAGTTTGTATAGGTATCGAAAATATATTTATGCTATTGAATTTAAGCATTTTTTATTACTTGGATTTTCTGTCATGAAAGGAATATACAGAGGTGCCTTGGTGGCCCAACTGGTTAAGTGTCGACTCTTGATTTTGGCTCAGGACGTGATCTCACAGTTTGTGAGATCCAGCCCCAAGTTGGATTTTTTGCTTACAGCGTGGAGCCTGCTTGTGATTCTCTCTCTCTCTCTCTCTCTCTCTCTCTCTCTCTCTCTCTCTGCACCTCCCCAACTTGTGCACATGCACATGCTCCCCTCTCTCTCAAAATAAATAAACATTAAAAAAAATGAATATACAGTCCTTTTTCTGGTGTGCCATGAAATACAAACTCTAGTGTAGTATTTGCCCTTTAGGTGCCAAATCTTCACTCGTAACACAAAAGTTCATGAGTGCAGAACTTGATCTCCTTTACTGCCCATGTCCCCAGCATCTACACCTGGCACAGAGTAGGAACTTTATGATTTTTCATTGAGTGCATTGATTCCCATATATTATACTATGATATGCATTTGTATGGTATCGTATGGCTTTCAAAACATTTTTACTTAGGTTAATTTCATTTGACTATTACAACAATTTTGTGAGAAAGGTAGGACAGATATTTTATCTTGTGATACCCAGTTCAAGTGGTTTGTGGTAGACCTAAGATTGGAGGGGGCCCAGCTCATAACAGTCCATTGGTTTTTTTAATATCAATCATCATCATTCAGTAAATGCTTATTATTATAGGCCAGTCACTGTATTAATTTAGCTGAATGATTTAACCTTTGCCATGACATAGCCCCATGACATAGAATGATCTTCCTTCCATTTTAGAGATGAAGAACTAAAGCACAACGAGGTTAGGTGATGCATGCAAGGTCAGCACTGGGGATTAGGCTCGAGCAGTGTGAGTTCCCAGCCCAAGCTCTCAATATGGTCTAACCTCTGCTCCACAGTTTTTTAGGATGTCCCTCTAAAAAGTTGGCTAGCGTACATATCTGAGCCAAATAACTACCATGGTGATTTCCTAATGATTTTATTAAATTATTTGCTATCACTGTAATAGATTCTTATTGAGTGTCTCAACAAATTTATAAGCCAGAGATAATTGTTGTTATAGGTTATGGGTAAAGAGAAAAGACAATACAAAAGAAAAAAAAAAAAAGGAAATGTGGGTATGTGATTATCAGAATGTAGGAGTCAGGTGGGTTGCCAACATTACAAGGGAGTCAGATTTGTCATTCTTCTGTTATAGACTAAGGTACCTCCCAGGTGATGGAGAATGAGTCTGGAAAAGAAATTATTCAAGGCAGCTGCATATTTGTCAGGTTAGGACATACCTACAGCCTTGTCAAAGGAGGAGAGCCAACCAGTGCCAACCAAATGGGATGATCATGGCAGAGGAAAACCTCGTTGGAGCTCAGCAGTGTGCTTCTTAATGAATGTTCTAACCTGCCTATTCCTGTATAAATGGGAGTTCTGTCTGCAGCTTGAGCTTCACACAGCTCCTCAACCATGTGTGAAGTGCACCGCATCGTGACTCAAGTATCCACAGCGGCTGAGAACATGCTAAAGGAGCTCTTGCTCCCAGAGAGTAAAAGCCTGGAGAGAGTTCCACTGACAATAAGCTGAAGTAGTTGAGAGAACAAAGACTGTGCACGTGGGGCAAATACATTAAAATCAGATTATTCTAAATGGAGTTTCACTTACCTATGCAAAGCAGTGCAATAATAAAACAGGGGAGGTAGAGTAGAATCCTCAACATTAGTTATAACCTGCAAAACCAAAGATTAGATTCCATGTTGATAAAATAATAGGAAGACCACTGAACCTGGGCTCTCCATCTCGGTGGATAACAAATATGCCGAGGTGGCCTTCTGCAAGACATATCACCTCAATCGTCACCACCTCTTTGGTTATGTTCTATAGGTTGAATTGTAAATCCTATCTAATCATATCTAAGATATACAGGTAAATTTATTAAGTACTTTCTAAATGTTTTTCAAGTACATGAATTGAACTATGCATCCAGTATGTAATGTACAGTTATTGAACATTAACTCTGGGCCTGCCGCCATTTTGGTACTTCTGGGGGTTGTTCCCACTTATACCCAAAGTTGCCTTCCGTCACCCAACTTTCCTTTTCCATAGAGCAAATTGGCCAGGAGATGTTGGAAAACCTCAGTCACGACAGAGAAAAGATACAGCGAGCACGTGAACGAGTAAGTAGAAGTGATACCGTTTTTTTCAGAAGTTCAGTAAATAATGAGGCATAGAAGGCACATGCATAGACAGTAACAGTGACATAGATGCAAGTGTGTATAAAAAAGGCAAGGGTGGATGAGGGATGTCGAGTAAGGGGAGAAGAGAAAAAAGAGTGTGCAATGGAGAAAGAATACGCTCTTTCTTTCCCCATCCCAGAATGCCCCCAGGTAGATATTTTATTTAGCTCTATAACTGAGAAGGTCATGAGGGAGATTTTGGAGTATGTCAAGTCTTTCAGGGTGAAAGCTGTAAAAATAATGATGCCTCATCTTCACTTAGTTCATTTCGTTACCGTTTATATTTCTAGGACTTTGCACATTTTAAATTGGATTTTAATTACCAGATGTATATTCAACTTTATCAGCCTGCAAGACATTTGCTTTTATAGCCAGTTCAAGTATCCAGCTTAAAGCTCCTGGGATCATCTATTACATATAATTTTCTAAATCAAAGAATTTTCAGAGACTGTGTAGGTAACAAGGTGTATTTTAGTGTATTTAAGTATTTTTTTATTAATTGGATTTTCATCCGTGAGAAAAACTCCTGCTTGCCAGTGCACTTTCGATACGATCCAACTGCATGAAGTCTCACTTTGTTTTGTTTTAATGCTGCTTTTCTCCTTCTAGCTTCGAGAAACAGATGCTAACTTGGGGAAAAGCTCCAGGGTCCTGACGGGGATGTTGCGAAGGTAAGAGCAAGGTAGGGACCCATCTTCCTCTCTCTCCCTTTTTTGAAACTGTGTTTTTCATCTAGTTGCAACTGGGCATTTTCCAGGCATGTGAGCCTCTGCTCTTAGTACCCTGTGTCAAGACCCTTTTGAAATGACAGAGCACTGATATTAACTCTTGTTTGGACAGGGACACATACTGAGTAACTTAGATTAGAGAGAAGGTTTGAGCTAGGGGGTTTACCTCAAGCTATGGAAAAAATTAGGGTTAGACATGAAGTACTTTTTCATAGCCTGAGGAAGTCCCCATGGCAGGAGCAGACTGATTTTATTTTCTATTTCAATAGCCTCCTTCTTCTAGAAGGAATGCGGGCCTGCCAGTATCATGAGCACACTTGGTATTAGCTTTGCTCTCTCCCTGTTGCCTTGTTTTCATTTCTTTTTTAAGAGACACTGTTTGGGGAAACATTTCAATCGTATATATACTTAAAGATGATGTTTACAATTTAAAGATTATCTGAGTAATATGAATTCACATGTGCGCGTGAACAGATGTTAATGTTTTATGTGTGCAACTAACCTTCGACTGATGGAAAACATTCATGAGAGTGTGCGGAAATAAGTGAATGAATATGGGTAATATTCTATATTCTATGTTTCTGGGGGAGGGGAGTGAGAAATGTGTTTTCACTGTTCTGAAAGTCAGAGACATTTTTTACGTAGGTGTATTTAGCGTGGCATTTTCTTACGTTCGGAATCTACCAAGGAAGGTTATCATCTAGCACAGCCTTCGGTTTAGAACTGTAGCTCGCAGTGTGAATGAGAAAGGTTGAGAATCGCTCCACAACAGCTTAATTGGAATTTTAAAGAAGAAATCCTTTAGCATGGACACTATAGAGACAACTAATTTAGAGAAAGGAAAGTCTTCTCTGATCACGTATCTATCTGTATGTAAGAATTCGCTAGAAGTGTGTTTGCTGTGTTCGTGATGGACAGCACAAGACCCAGTCGTAGGGTTGCTTGGTCTCCATCAGGCTGATAGGTCTTGAGCCTGAAGTTCCTGGGACACTCCAAACCAACACTGGCCTAACTCCACAGGCCCCTGATTTTCCTGCAGGCACAGTCCCAATTCAGCACCATAAGCCACTGAATCCTCTGCTTAAGAGTAATACACAAATGACCTAGAAAAACGCAAAATCCACAGAGAAGTGTCAATTGAGGGGAAGGGTTCAGTGCCTATAGACAATAAAAACGAAAAAAAGGAAAAAAAATCCTCTATTGCTTCCCTGGGAGGGCCCCTGCGATGTGAGCTGTAACGAGTGTTCTGCCTATGTCTCCATTTTGTCAAATCTCATTAAAGAGTTTGTCAATTGAGCTGTCCAGAAATCATTCATCATTTTTAGTGTAAAAAAAAAATCATGCAGTTATTTAAATAATATCATATTAATGTTAAAGTTCAGCTGTCATTTAATGGTATGGCTTAATCAGATGTAGCATTTAGGAAAAATAGTTTCTGCGGGCTCTACGTGGCTTTCAGGTTGGCAGATTCAAATAAGGATTTATGAGTTTCTGAACCAATGTATTTCTGTCCATGTTTCTGCTTGATGTACCTCACCCTTTTGTGCAGGACACTGCAGACAGTTATTTCGGCAAATAAAGCATCTCCTCATATTGTGTTTGAATAAATTTGCAAGTCATTTAGAGAGGGTGAAGCGCAGACGCCCTGCAACCTTTGACTGGGCTTTCTGTAGGGCAGTCATACTAACGCGCCTGTTTCATAAGCCTACAGAGGGAAATTACTCCACCGAAACCCACTTGGGGTCCTCTTTGTAGGCAAACTCAGTCCATCACTGACTCGTCTCCTTTTGGGATCTGTCTAGAGAGTGAATAGAAATAAAAATCTTCAGGTGGACATCACCTTGCTGTGATGAGCCAAGGAAACTCTGAGGCCCTCCTGTGCGTAGCAGCGATCATGTTTTTTACAAGACTCAGCTAGGATCTTGGTATCAGCCAAGGTATCCAGATACTCTTAATGCTGTACCTTCACTGAGTCTCTGGGGAACCAAAGGCAGATGGTGGTTTTGTTTGGTTCCTAATTACTTATCCCACCTGATATACGGTTTATTTTGGTCTTGGGAAAAGGCAGAAATGTTTGATCAACTTCTTCACTCCATTGTTTTTATTATTCCCTGGAAAAACAGTCTCTAGAGAAATGGGACCAGCTTTTATGTCCCCAAGTCTCTTATTGAATACTCTGATTTTGCTTCCTCTGTTACATCCCTCCCATTCGCAGGGACTTCCCTTCCAGCACTGGTGAGATTTTAATTCAGAGAGAGAAATCACATTCTGTTACCAAAACCACATCGCGACGTTGTGCGTCAGCAGTTGCGTCTAAGTTAAGGTGTAATACCAAACCACGCGCCCATCTGTCACCTTCGCAAGTGTGTAAAGGGAATGAATGTGCTCCTCGTGCAGTGTCGGCATCCACCTCGATAACACGAGCTTATTTATTTGCATGTGATGAATTGTGTATGACCGAGAATATTCTACTAACATACTAAACCAAGGAATTAATTTATTTAGAGGAAAGGTGGCGGATTATTTTTAATTTTTTTAAATTAGGTTGCTTTCAATTCTGTATATGGAACGGAAACGTTCCATATACAGAATGATGGCCTTTGCCCCTCATTTGGGTCATTTTGTTTTGATTAGCCTGTGGTGAAGACAGGTGAGACCGATGTTCCGTCAATGTCAAAGTCTGTATATAAACCCACCTGGTTATCTGCAAGACTGAAAGCAGAGAGGGAAATAAAAATGAGTAAGTGACAGCCACCACCATTCATGCTTTTTTAATGTTTTATTACCATCACATGAGGTAAAAAAAAAATCTATTTCCTTCTTTTCTCTCTCTCTTCCTGCTTTTCTTCCTTCCTTTCTTCTTTCTGCTTATTCACTTCCTCAGTAAATACTTAACGCCTGGAAACAAAGCCTTGGGGAATCCTCAGATGAAATCAATTCGATCCTTGCCCTCAGTCCTGCTGGAGAATCCGTACTGTGGGAATTCCTAGAACTACCTCCTTCTCAAGGAAACTTCTGAGGATTCCTTAACTCCAGCAAATGCTTACTGGTCGTTAAAAAGGGTGGCAGGGAAACAAATAACCAATAGAAAATATCATCTAAATAGCTATAAAACCAATACGTTTCAAAAGTTTAGAGAGGTAGGAGATTTATACAATCATAAACAAGCTTTGAAAGGAACTAACCAGGCAAAAACCACTGAGGCATACCTAGTTAAGTGACGCAGCAGCTGATTCAACTAAAATAAATAAATAAATTGTTCTTCCTGTAACGTTGCTATATTACCAAAAAGGAGAACGCAAAGGAGAAAATTGGTCCATTCAAAATTACGATAGTGAAACTTGACATCAGAACACAGATATAGCTGATTTCCTGGAAAGTAATTTTTCTTCTGTCTTGACAGAAGATAGAGAGCTGGCTAGGGACAAACGGCTCATTTCCTGACCCTATAGACAGAGTTTTAAATAAAGTGCTATCCAGATAATAACGAAAATGGTCATGAAACAAATGGCTATTCGTGTGGTGACTGGAGCCGAAGAAATGAATTTTTCACGGACTCTCACAAAATGTGATTATTGCAACTGGGGTTGTCTTGAGGTGTCACAAATAACACTGAGAGGCTTAGATGTTGCTCTTCATAAACTTGCATGTATTTGCACGTTTGTGTGTGTATTATTTCCTGTACATTTGACTGGGAAGTCAAAGAGCAAACAGTGGGCAATCAGTGAAAATAAAAATAGCAGTTTTTGACATTTTCAGTTACAGAGTGACATCATGATTCTGGTTTTTTGGGGGATTTGTTTTTGTTTTTGTTTTTTTTACCTCTGAAGAGTGAATAATTTATTGGTAACAGTATATTTGTTTCTAAAAGTATCTTGGGAATACAACAGTTATAATTTGAGATCTCCTTTGACATAAATTTGGAGGGCACGCTACAAGTTTATGTTGGCTGACAAAAGGCTTACAAAAAGAAATGGCGTATGTAATAGTTTTAAAACATCTTTTTCTATATGATTACCTTAAAATCAAATAATTTCCTCTCTCCCACCCGCTCCCTGTGTGTGCCTCTACTATTTTAATTTTTTTCAATTTTTTTGAATTTAAAAAATAAAAACAATGTTTCCTTCAAACAGTGAATTCTTGCTCATTCTTCCAGAATGCATGTAGTAACTTGTTAAAGCATGTAACTGGTGAGAGGCCTTTTGAAACTAATCTATAAGATACGCAAACCAGGTAGTATTAAATGCTGTTGGCCTAGCAAGCACTATTCATGTGTTATTATTTATTACATGTATTTTTTGTTAGAACTACTTTGGAGCCAGTCTGGGGAGTAATTGCCACCTACTATCTCTGTAACGTTTTCATTTTAAACATGGTTTTGTTGCTTTGGTAGAATGACAGGTAAAACATCTGGAAAATTTAAATGTACTATCAAAATGATCCGTAAGGGTAAGCATACCAGAAATACCAACACAAGATCTGTAAGCAATGGAAATACAAAAAAAAATTGTTTGTTTAGTAAACAAATTTTTTCTTAAAGAGGGGCGCCTGGGTGGCTCCCTCGGTTGGGCGTCCAACTTCGGCTCAGGTCATGATCTCATGGTTTGTGAGTTCAAGCCCCGCGTCGGGCTCTCTGCTGACAGCTCAGAGCCTGGAGCCTGCTTCGGATTCTATGTCTCCCCGTCTCTCGGCCCCTCCCCTGTTCATGCTCTGTCTCTCTCTGTTTTTTCCAGCTGTTCCTCACAGATAGTCAGACAGCCTTGCTAGATGAGCAGAAAGCAGTGAACAAACTCCACCAGACCCCACTAGCTAAGATGGGCCTGGTCTCTATAGACATGGAAGCTGTTGTGTACCAATGGCGTCCAAGGGGGTGTGTTTTTGAGGAGTCCTTTAAGATTATTTTATTTTTGACTACAGACTGTGAGGCCTTAACTAGAGATGAA